TGTAGAGGAATCCAGTAGATTGTAGGTCAATAAATGATCAGTCATTTACCCTCAAATTTGCTGAATTTGTACAATACACGTGTACAAGTATGTACGTTGATAATACGGGTTCCAGTAAGGGCCAAGGCGTTGTATCAATTCCATTTCAGACTGAAAAAAACCTAAAACACCAGTCCAACTATTTTAAATTTAATCTTCTCAAATCAAGATTTTTAAAAATCTTCTGGCACGAGAGATGGTGCTGCCTTAAGCATTTTTATCAATAAATTCCATGCTCACAGTAGCACTCTTGTAAAATAAGCAGGACTGTGTCACCTTTAGCGAACATCAGTAATTCCACACAGTACTAAATGAAACATTGTGGAGAACAGTTATGACAAGAGGAGTGATTCCAATTGCAGTGGCTATATTGGTTGAACACAAGGATAAACCAGGCTTAATAGTTGTGGTAGGACATTTTTAATTAAGAGCCAGTTAGGTATAATGGTGAAAATAGCATGCTAAGAAACTGAGTTCTAGCCCTTAGGAGCCTTGGGCCAAGCACTTTCATCTGTAGGAATGGCCCACATGAAATCTTGCCAAGAAAACTGCTGGGACTTAACTAGGCAGTCCCCTAAAATAAACATTGACTCAAAGGTTTCCCCTTTTATGTATCCAGAAAAAAGTAGAGAGAGGGAATTCGAATGGCATTTGTATCCCATCCCTATACTCTCTTTACAAATATTGGCCAGTGCATTTTGATTAGCTAAACATTTTGTCTTAACCTCTTAAAGTAATCATAAATGCACTCACTTTTTTACCACATAAAAAAATTACAGATGTATGAAGGTATATTACTGGTTAAAAAGTGGTCTTAGGACAGGGGTGCGAGACAATATTCCAGGGGGTGCGAGAAAAGTCCAGGTAAATAATAGGATATTGGCTATATGTTGGCATTTTTATTTATTATTTATTTCAGGGGGTGCGAGGTTCGAGTGAAATTTCTTTAGGGGTGCGGGGCGTAAAAAAGGTTGGGAACCACTGTCTTAGGAGAATCAAATAGTATTCTTGAATTTGTTTTTTAAAACGTTTGCTTGTGTTGTAACTCATGAAGCAGTTCATATAGTGATTCCACTAATGTTGAACTAGTAAATGTATGTATTGTAGCATAAATCTCTTCTTTATCTAGTGTTTAGATAAAATCTTGCATACCGAGAATAAAAATGAAGTTTTCAAAAAAGCATTAACTGCTGGAAGCTTGTCTGTCATTGAGGAACTCTTAAATACAGGTATGACAAATGAATATCAGCTAAATTATAACACTTCTTGAAAGTTCAGACTTTAATGGATATCTGTATTGTATGGCACAGAGTAAGCTAAGTTTGTATTTAGTTAAATACTGTATAAGGTCTTACCACATTGTTTTTCATCCAATTTGATTTTTGTGCTTGTGAAGGTCTCATTGGAAAACAGCTGCCTTCTGGCAAGAACAAATAGGTTAGGACCAAAATTGTCCGTTTACCCCTTGTTGAATATGAAGTGAGATTTCAGATAGGTTAATAATAGAAAAAAGAAAAATGAATGTGCTCCAAGAAGAAATAGTAGAATTAACTTTTTTTTCGCTTAGTTGGGAAGAAACTGAAATCTTGAACACTTCATAATAGAAGTGAATTACATATTCTGGCAATCAGAAATATTGACTATGAGACATTAGGCTAAAATGACCCACCTTAAAAATATTAAAGAATTAAATTGGTTCATAGCTTCAATTTTCCTGTTTTGACAAGACTTTTTATATAGATGACTGAATGTCTTGTTATATGTATAATAAAAGTGTTAAATACTTGTGATAGTGTTCTATGAATGTGCATACCGGTAAATTACAATGAGTGAATTTGTTTGAAACAATGTAGATTTTGGCTTAATTGTATAAGTGGATATTATAATGGCATCCTTTTTTACTTTGTAAAAAAATAAAACTATTAAAATAAAAGGTATTCTCCAGCAGTGAGATTCAAATATTTTTACTAGCGGTTCTGTGGGCATGGCTTGGTGGGTGTGGCAGGGGAAGGATACTGTAAAATCTCCAGTCAGAGGTGGGATTTGCTGGTTCTCTGAACTTCTCAAAATTTCCGCTACCGGTTCTCCAGAACTGGTCAGAACCTGCTGAATACCACCTCTGGTATTATCCCTAGTTATATAGCAATATAAATGTTGTAGATTTTGCAGATACTACAGAAATCAAACTTTCTTATTGGTCTACCCATTTGGTTTCTATTATTTGTAGCAGATTGGTGGGTGAAGGATAGAGTAATCTGATATTATTAATTATCAATCGCCAATGTAAATCATAGTTGCCTGAATCACGAGATGGATGGCAAATGAAATAGGTAGGCAGACAGACATACAGATAGATAGAAGAAGAAAAATCTTGGTGGCATGAAATGTTTAAAAAATATTTAGGACTCAACTAAATGTAGCCAACATTACACAGATTTAAGCCACCCAAATTGGGAAATATTAGTACAAACTATATCTGTCACAAATCAATCTGTCCCAGACTTGATGGCCTGCTGTATTTACATGTTATGGAGTGGGCCGGGGATCCTTTTTAAGGAACTATAGTTATGAAAAGGCTGGTCTTGGGTAGACAGATACTATAGAAATAAGAAATGGGGGGGGTGGTGGTGTTGGTAAAGGATTGCATTTTGTTGAGAGCATCATTGGGGAGACTGAATAGTGGTTGTGTTTAAATAAACCTCTGTCAGAGCCATATGTAGATAGTGGGTGACCCCATCCTTAATACCTCTGCCTAATATTCCATTTTCTTTTGTAGAATTCTATAATAGAATATGTATTATAGATTTATGTTTTATTAAATGCATATATAAATGTTACAGGCATAAATGTAGAATCTAGCCTTCAGTTTGGATGGACTCCCCTCATGTATGCAGCTAGCGTTGCGAATGTGGAACTTATGTATCTCCTTCTAAGCAGAGGTGCAAATGCAAGTTTTGAGAAGGGTGAGTTTTTATAAATGGATCTTTTGAAGGATGTAATCCTAAGTGTTCTGTATCATAACAAAATAAATAAATGTTTATTTAAAGAAACAGTGACTGCGCCAGACCAAACTAAACATGTCATGTGTAAAGTATTATTTTTATTCTATCTGTACTTCCAAAAATGCCTTCCCGCTATTTGTGCCATTTTCTTCATTGTCCTGCAGTTTTTTAATTTGCTTTTGAGTTGTTCCCTTTCACTTTACTTTTTACTTTGTGTTGAGTGTCATGTAGAATTGCAATTCTATTGCTAAGTTTCTTAGTTCCTTAAATGTTGTGCGTTTTTATATTAGTAAGAGCAATACATCAGGAGTCAGCAATCTGTAACCTATTTTTAGACCGTTCAGCTCTAAAAAAAATTATTCTTTAGCATTTGTTGTGGGAAGTAAAAGAACAAAATGCATGTTATAACCATGCCTTTAACCTACAGTTGTTCCGAAATTCCCCCAAATCAAACAAATTTTGTCTGTTGTGGAAAAAAATTAAGTGACCAATACGTGCCTTACATTTCTTTAAAAGTAGAAAGACACTAGCTTCATTCCCTGGAAACTACAGCTAAATGGAAACCCAGTACAAATAGCCCAGTACTCATGACCACAGCTGAACCTGAAATGTTGGTCATGTCATTGCAGTCATTATGTAACACATCTGCTCCTTCAGTTAAGGACTGCAGTCTGGCTCTTCCAGTTGTGGTTGTTAAGCAGAAGAGTGAAAAACTAAATTTAACCACTGGTGAATTCTGTTGACCCTTATCCAATGTCAAGATAATGCTGATCTGTCACTGAGTAGATTCTTGTGCATAGGCATGATTAGTAATAAATCAGTTTAATTGGAACTTCATGTTGTAGTCCTGATCTTTCATGCCTGATAGCTGGAAAAAACAAAGCTCAGATCTTTGGGATCCATCCCGTCTGTACTGAGAACGGAACACAAGTGCTCAGCTGGAGAAAGGAAGTTTCGATCTTCAAGATCTCAGCTTCTTTCTCCAGCTCACCACAGGATCCATCCCCCCCATACCTTCCCAGTGCACGTAGGACGGGAAATCCTTCAGCAAGTAGTAGCAGGTTGCAACCTTCTCTGCCGGCTTCCCTATTGACTTTCTGGGCAAGTCAACAGAGAACATTGCAAATGGCAGTTACATGATTGTGGGGGTGCTTGGCAACTGGTTATAAGTGTGAACGGGTTCCTAAGTGCCTGAAATGTGATCACATGACCACAGGGATAGTGTAATAGCCATAACTTCAAGGACAGGCTATGAGTAGCTTTTTCGGAGTCCTTGTAACTTTACAATTGTTAAATGAGTTCAGGACTCCATGTTGTCATCGGCAGAGTAGAGGTAGAAAACCTCCATGTGCCAATTAAAGAAGAACAAAGCCAACATCTTGGTCTGTCTCTACCTTCTAATTGGGGTGCATCCCAATAAGGTCTTGTTGACCAAGACCTGAGAAATAAAATTCTAAGATATGTCTTGGCCCTAATTCAACTGGTCTGGTTTTTTAAGTTTTTGGAAATCTTGGTGTGAGACTAACATTGAAAAAATTCATTTTATAATTCAGGGCCATGTTTGTAATAGGTATAGTTTTTGTACAGGTAGTCCTCGAGTTACAATCACAATTGAGCCCAAAAGTTATGTTGCTAAGTGAAACATTTGCTGGGTGCCGATTTTATGACTTTTCTTGCCACAGTTATGAAGTGAATCACTGCTTTTGTTAAGTTAGTAACATGGTTGTTAAGTGAATATGGATTTCCCATTGATTTTTGCTTGTCAGAAGGTCTAAATTTCTAAGTCTAAGCTTCTAAATTTTGATCATGTGACTATTGGGATGCTACAACAGTTGTAAGTGTGAAAAACGGTCATAAATCACTTTTTTCAGTGCTGTTGTGACTTTGAACAGTCACTAAATGAACTGTTGTAAGTTTGAGAACTACCTGTATTTGTTATGCCTGGCTTATTCTATATATTTCCAGCTTATTTTTTAAAATTTCTGTTTAGATGATTATTCAATATTGATGGCTGCATGTACTGCATCTGGTTCAGAAGAACAGATTTTAAAGAGTGTAGAACTACTGCTTTCAAGAAATGCAAATCCTAATGCTGCATGCAAGTAAGCACTATCTCTCTGTTTGTCTATCTATCAAATATGTTTTTAAATGATTGCTGAATAATTCAGCTAATTGACTAATAAAGTATTACATTATTTTTATTGGATATCTACTGTTATCTTTGTTAGATCTGTTTTTTAACACTCACTCTCAAGTTCATTTGACAAATCTTTGACTATTTATTTGAAATGTATTTATATGTAATATACCATAAAGATATATTGCTAATTAACTGCATCCAATTGTGTGTACCTATTAGAGGAATGGAAGGTCAGATGTCTTCCATTTAAGGTCCTCATACTATTTGTCTGTGCTAGCAAATATGTTCTTGGAGACTTACAGCAGGTTTCATGGACATAGAGAGGAATACAGCAATTGAAATTTATTCTTTCAAAAGAAAATTGTTATTGCAGAAATGTCTCAATATACATCTGTTGCTACATCGGGTTACTAAATAAATCATTTTAATGCTGTATTTAATTGACATCATATTTCTACAAAAGTGAGTTGATTATTTAGAACTATTAATGAAGTGTATTATGATTGCTATTTCCATAGATTATCTGTCTTGAGAGATATTCCCTTTTTCCTTTTTAAAAACTATTGTTCATAAGAGCTAGATTGTAAATCCCTGGGAGCGCATTTGTGATTTGCCCCTGTGTAAATTCCATTCTTAAATTGCACAGTACCAATAGACGTTTTCAGTTTTCCAATCCTGAACATATAGTACAAACTTATATATGACACCTACAGAGGGAAGTTCCATTAAACCTACCTAAGCATAACTGAAACTTCAGCTTTAGTTTTTTTCCTAATTTAAAAAGTTGCAACGGTTGCAGTAGCTAAATTGGAAATAATCAAAACCTCAGATTCTTGACTGTATTAATTTTACGCATTAATTTTCAACTACAGGTAGTCCTCAACTTGCGATCACAATTGAGCCCAAACAAGTGAGACATTTGTTAAATGGATTTTGCCCCATTTTACAACCCTTCTTGCCACAGTTGTTAAGTGAATCATTGCAGTTGTTAAGCTAGTAACACGGTTGTTAAGTGAATCTGGCTTACGCATTGACATTGCTTGTCAGAAAATCTCAATTAAAATTTATTTTTTCAAAAGAGAATTGTTAATGCAGGAATAAGTCTCAATATACATCTGTGACTATATCAGGTTGCTGAATAAATCATTTTAATGTTGTATTTAGTTGACATATTTCTATAAAAGGGAGTTGATTATTTAGAACTATTAATGATCACACTTGACCCCAGGATCCTACAACAGTCATAAATATGAACCTGTTGCCAAACATCCAAATTTTAATTGCGTGACTGGGGACACTGCAGCGGTCATAAGTGTGAAAAGTGATCATGTCACTTTTTCAGTGTCATTGTAATTTTGAACAGTCGCTAAATGAAGTCGAGGACTACTTGTAATAAAGTGCTTTGAGGTAATAATTTCTGGGTTCTAAGTATTTACCAATATGAGCATTTCTCTGGTAGAATGAAATGATTTGAGTAGCTTAGCGATGGCCTACAAAGTTGCATTCCTTTCCAATGTTTATAACTAGTCTTACATAGCATGTGAAGGGAAAATAAGAATAGGGAAAGTACTAATTTTGTTGATAATTTTGCTGTGTCGGTCTTATATCAGGTTAACACGGTAATGGCTAACCTTTTTTGGCACTAAGTGCCCAAAGCATGCGCAGCCACATCTCCAAAATGCAATGCACACACATGCACCCTGCACTTTGGGCACTTAGTGCCAAAAGGGCTAGCTGGTTAGTGCCCCACTCCCGCGCATGCGTGTATGCCCCCCCCCGTGTGCCTCCCACACTTGCGTGCGCGACCCCCTGCATGTGCAGCAGAGACCTGAAGACCAGCTGGCCAGCAGGAGGTGCACATGCACTGCGGAGCTGAGCTGAGGTGACGGCTGGTGTGCCCAGAGAGAGGGCCCTGCGTGCCACCTCTGGCATGCGTGCAATCGGTTCGCTATCACAGGGTTAACAGGCAGCGGGGTGGCTAGAATGGTGTGATCACTCATATCTCTGAATATTGAATAGGGAGAAAAGATCAAGCTTCCTACATTAAAATTTTACTCTGTAGTTGTACCAAATTGAAATACATATTTACCCTTTGAAATGGCTAGTACACATTGACATGTGTGGTTTTTTAACCACTGTAGTAAGTTAGAGCTAGATAAATGGCAGGTACTTGCTTCAAAAATATTATGAAAAAGTTATTTGAGTCTCAGGTGAGCGTACCACCTCTATGATAATTCATTTTGAAGCAGCTCATATTTTTTCAGACTTCTGTACAAGTATAAGAAAACGAAGTTGCTTTCAAAGTCCCATCAACTTTAATCACTTTCTTACAAGCCACAGAACGTGTGTGGAGATTCCCAATTATCCAGGTCATGGTTGTCCCAAAAGGGCTTTTCAAAAGGCAACTGGATTTTCTTGTTTTTTTTCCTTGGAAACATTTCACTTCTCATCCTGAAGAAGGAAGGGGAAAAAAAATCCAGGTGCCTTTTGAAAAGCACTCTTGGGAAAAGCAACAGAATATTGGTTGAGGCTCGTGCAGGACCTGAAAACAGAAAAGCCCCTTTAAATATACATTGCAGAACTACTACACTCATGGAAGATATGAAGTGTGTATGCAGAAACTATATTTGAAGTGTACGAAGCCTTAGGCCTTCTTCCTTCATACCACAGTACATTAGGGTCTAAAGAAGAATCATGGTGAGAGGTAGCTCATGGGGATGGGGAGAACATGATCAAAATTTGTTCTTTAAAGTTGCCATTTCAGCTTTTGAGTTTAACTGCTGTGTCATAAATAGTAGTGTAAGAAAAGGTGATGTCATTTCCTTAGGTCTGTTGATAGACTTGCCTAGTAAATGCAATATGCAATAATTACCTATAGTGAAGCCACATCTGGATCTGTGTGATCCAAAGGACGAAGAAAATGTTCCAGAGAATTCCAGAATATTCTGCTTGTGCAACTCGTAGGTTTTTCCACAGTTTTGTTACTAATTTGGAGTTCTGTGTGAAGCAACATAAAGGATGTTTTATTCTAAGTAGGAGCTTTTTGTTGTTGTTGATCGATTGGTTAATGTGTGAGGTATTTAACCAATTGCTTAATATTTAATTATAACACAAAATATTTATTGCTGCTGATAAGTATTCCATTAGCACTACTGTGTAATTTCATCGGCCTTGACTTTATCATTCTACGGTGGTTAACTTTGTTAAATGACATCCCAGTACTTGCAAATAGCCTGGGAAAAGTGTCACATTTATTCTTTAGTTAATAAACTTTATCACAAATGTATCTAAACAGCGATGGAGAACAGTTATATAAACTTAATAATTTACGATACTATAGTTTCTTGTCAGGGAAGAAAAATGATCATCCATCAGTTTGGAGCATTTAAAAAAAATGCTTCCTGTATGTGAGCTATAACTATTACAGTGTTCCTTGTTCAAGAGATGTGACTCAACAGGGGACAATTGAGGTGTATGAAGAAATGTTACTGATGCTTAAAAGTTATATGAAACTGTGATAAAGAATCACAAGGAGATAATGGGATTGCCCCAAAAGAAGGATGTAAGTATAGAAGACCCTCAACAAAGGGTGGATGGGAAGATGAATACAATAACTCAGAAAACAGATGAGAAAAACCAGAAGAAGTGGGGGAGGAGGCAAAACAAAACAAATCGCAAGAAGATGAAAACATTGAAGGGACAAACTAATAAGTATGAATAAAACATAATTATTTAAGAGTTTACAATACAACATGGGGGGAAAGGGAAGTCTCCCCAAAATAATGAGAGAGAAATATAAAAGAGAGATCAAAAAGTCAATAAATAATTGAAGTCCCAAACAGAGTAAGAGATAAATGGTTAAAGATAAAATAACTCTCAATACAGTGAATGTACTAGAAATTAAAAGAAGAAACTATAAATTGGAAAAACAGTATATATAGTAGATAATAGAATTTGCTATAATCATAAGCAAAGTAAGGTTAGAAGGTAAAAATCTATATGTGGTAACCTAACTGTTATCATTATTAACGATGTGTAAAAATATATTGAAACTTATAATTTTAGGGGATTGGAGATACAATCCTGGGATTGATTAAATTTGGCTAATGATTGGTCCTATTGGTGTTTTTAAACAATTGGGATATTGGATTTACAGTGGTATATTTGAGTAATTTTTTAAATATTAAAATACTACTGATTTAACGGGATATCAAACATATTTCATGAAAAAATGTCATTGAAGTTTATAAGTACAATGTGAAGGTTAAGGTCAGAAGTTGGAAGACTAGAATTATGTATACTAGTTGTATTACTATTGCTAGCATTGCATAAAAATATATTGACCCAGTCAATACACTATCTCCAAAATATGCATGGATGTTAAAGGAAAATTACAAATAAAACATTTTATATTTGTGTGTGTGTGTGTGTGTGTGTGTCTATTCTCTTAAGTTTTCGTGGGTGAAAGCCTGACTGACACACAGACAAACCCAATACACAAGCCTGATAATGGCAGATGAGATTCTGCCGAAACGTTGCTACAACTTTAAAAGCACAGCTATAATGACGTGGGAAAATACTCGAACAAAGCTGAATACCATACACACACACACACACACACACATATATATGATATGATATGATATGATATGATATGATATGATATGATATATATATATATATATATATATTTGTTTTCTTAAGTTTTCGCGGGTACTTACATGTATGGTGTTTGGCTTGGTTCGGGTATTTTCCCACGTCATTATAGTTGTGCTTTTAAAGTTGTAGCGACGTTTCGGCAGAATCTCATCTGCCATCATCAGGCCTCTGTATAGTGTTCATCAGTGAGTCAGGCTTTTACAGTGGTTTCAGATTTGAATTTGGGGCAGCCTATTGCTGTGCCATAATGGTTTTTTCTTCATCCTGATTGGTTGAGAGTCTTGGTTTGTGTTTATTGGTCTTGGAGTTTGCTGTGTTCTGCTTGATTAGTGTTTCTAATATCTGTTTTTTTGGCTCTTTTTGTATCTTGATTGGCTGGCAACATTGTGTTACTTTATTGGAGGCCTTTAGTGCAGCTTGGCTCCAGGTAAATGGACGGCTATCGTTAGTTAGGAAGCTGGGTTTCATCTGGGTGCCTGGTTGGGATGTGTTTGAGCTGGAGGTATCAGGGGGGATCTGTTTGTGCCCAGGTGTTTGCCTGGCTTGTGGTGTGCAGATTTTTTTGTTTGTGAGTGCAGGCTTCCAAATGATTGACAGCCTGGTGGAATCATCTCTTCTGTTCATGCTTTCTGGTCTTTTTTCAATCTCTATGGCTTCTCTGATGATTCTGTGGCTGGAATTTTCTATAGTGGCTAGGGTTTTGGTGCCATTGAAGTTGATGCTATGACCTGTGGCTTCCATGTATTGGACTAGTGAGGAAGTGTGTTCCAGCTTTTTGACTGCATTTTTGTGTTCATCCAGGCGGGTACTTATTCTTCTATTGGTCTGTCCAATGTATGTGGCCGGGCATGATGCACAGGGGACTTCGTATATGCCTTGGTTTTCCAGGTCAATTTTATCTTTGGGGTTTCTGAGGATGGCTGCTATTTTTCTGTCTGTTTTGAAGGCAGTCTTGATGTGGTGTCTGTGTAGTATCTTACTAATTTTGTCTGTAGTACCTCTTATGTAGGGCAGGACAGCTGTATATATTTATATAATAGTCTGCTGATTACCAAAATGTTTACCGTAGTTATGTGTTGTCATGTTTTTCTATAGAAAAACTGAATATTATTGCAATCCTGCAACATGTTTTTTTTATTTCACAACTCAAATAATTTTATCACAGACTTTTATTGAGGTTGTTGTTTGTTTGGTGAATTCAAGGGATATTTGTTTTCAGTCATTCAATAGTTTTATTAATATTTAAAACTCCTACGTCTCGTAAATTCCTTTTTTTACATAGCTCATCTAAATCAACTTCTAGATTCCCTTTATCCTCCAGGCTGCAAATTATCTTATCACAACAGCGTGTATAGTTGTTTGGTCAGTCTTGACTAAAATGCTATTACATCCCAGTGTTGGGTCAATGAATCATTCCTGTGCGTAACAATTCCCACTGTTCATTGTTTATTTTCATTTTATTGGTAGCAATTTAGGTTCCAGTATGTTGCAATAAATTTTAAAGTGCTAACTAAGAGACTAGGAGTTGGGAAATGTAAGACCAAAGGTCCATATTTTTATAGTTGCCAGTCATATACTTTTGGGAATACCTTAAACCAGGAGGAATCACAATATAACTCTCTCCTGACAGTTCCCCTTCTCAGGAATTAGTACCCAATGAGCATAGATTCTAACATTCTATTTTATTATTCTGTTATATATTAAGATTTACTCCTTAATTCAAAGCTTAATTTAACTTTAAAGCTCAATTCCATCTGTACGTGTGACTGTCATTTCCATAAATTGTTACTTTATGAAAGACATAATGCTTTATGAACACATAAATAGCATTTAAAACCCAGGCAGCCAGGTGGTCTATTTAGTACTTTTGATTATGTTGCAAAAGATGTTTCTTCTAAATTAAGCAGGAATAGTTTAAAGATTTGTCCTTACTCAGTTTCCAGTAGTTTTCTCATGCAAGTATTTCCTTAAATCATGAAATCATGCCCACCCATTACTTTTGTTAATCCAGAAAATACTGCCATCAACTTCATTGGCTCCTCACAGTTTGGTCAACAGGTTCATCCTGGTATTATATAAAAGAGATAGAGAAAAAATGTTGCAGTTTTTTTCCACATCAAGACTTACTTTTTAAATCTCTTTTACATCTCTTCCTCATTCATCTCCTTAACAGTTTTCCTTGACAAAAGATACCTTTAGTAACCTTTCATTATTTTTTGTGCTCATTTGTCATTTTCTAGCCCGTATACTTTTCTGGATTTTAGTAACGTCCAGAGCTAAATTGATATTTTCATGTATTCACCTCAGCCTATAAATCATTTAGTTACTAATCATTTAATTACTTTAGTTTACTTGAATCGTATTGATATAGTTTGAATGTTACAATTGGTACTCCTTCAGAATTTTTAGTTCATTTGCTGTTTTCTTGCCAGTTTACTTTTGGCAAACTATTTAAGTCCTTACAGCCCACTTGGTTTTATTATACAGAGTAATTTTTATGATTCTAGATAATTTATGAACAAGCCCTTCCTCCCAGCTTTATTTCATTCACACATACCTATTTACAGTAGCTGACAGTACAGGTAGAAGAAGTAGCCTTTTTGAACTGTTTTATCTATGAAACTTTTTAATTACTGGTTTGTGTTAGAATTCTACTTTCCAAAGTTTATTCTGGACTCCTTTCTTTTCTTGTATCTATAACAAGTATTTTTAGATAGTTATAATTTCTAACAAAAGAAAATATATCATTGAAGTAATGGGACGAAAAGAACGTCCCCATTTTGGGGAGTTTCAATGTGTTTAGAGATCCCTCTAGTGGTTTTATATGCGATTAACAATATTTGAAAATTCTAAAGTAATTCCTCTAAATAATGTGCATTATAACTATTGCTATTCTTATATCTGTAACATTCAGAATAGAGAATAACAGTTGAAAGGAGACCTTGGAGATCTTCTAGTCCAACCTGTTCAAGCAGGAGACTCATGTTTATTGGACAAAATGGCTGTTCAGTTTCTTCTTAAAATCCTCTAGTACGGAATACCCACAACTTCTGAAAGGAAGCCAGTTCCACTGATTAATTTTTCTCACTGTCAGGAAATTATTCTTCAATTGCTTGGAGAATAGGTTGATCTTCTCTCCACTGTGACTGTCCTCAAATATAACACTGCTATAATGTCTCCACTAGATTAAACAAACGTGGTTCCTGCAATCATTCATCGTACCCTTTAGCCTCAAGTCGCCTAATCATCTCTGTTGCTCTTCTTTGCACTCTTTCTAGAGTCTTAACATCTTTTTTTGTGCTATGTTGACAAGAACTGGATTCAATCAATTGTAAAGAAATTTTTACTGAAATTATGCATTGTTTTTTCCTTTTTGAGTCATCTCATTTTTATGACTTATTTTTCCTATGCTTAATGGAGTATTATCATGATAACATTTGCATCGGCAATTAGTTGTATCGGTTAAGCAAGGAACCTAGAATTCATTCCACTGAACGTAACAATTTCTGGACTGAGATTTTTTTTTTTACAGAACATGTGGTGCATAAATATTTATTTGGTTAACAATACTGTTTTTATTTAATTATAGATTAAAATGTACTTTGAATTTAGCTGTTCTTTCCTTAACAGATATTATGAATTCTCCTGTAGGAAGAAAATGACTCCATTAATGTATGCAGCCCGAGAAGGCCATTCACAAGTTGTTGCTCTCCTTGTTGTTCATGGATCACAAGTAAATGCCCAAGATAAAGGCGGTTACACTGTGAGCTTTTTGTATAATCCTAACTAGATTATTTACTTTACTTTGTGAAACTTCAAATATTTCAACAAGGTAGACTTTAAAGATATGTTTTTTCCCCCCCATCACTGGCAATTTTTACTGCTCTGGCACTGCTATTGTGAAGTGGGAAATAAATGAAATGTAGTCTTAGGCTTAATGTACACCAATGAAAAGCAGAGCAGAGCTAGGGGGAAAAAAAGGAAAAAATCTAGTTGATCTCAAAAGTGTAAGCTTTATATAAATAAAAGCTTTATTTATTGATCAAATTTATATGGCTGGAAATACGTCACCAAGGTGATTCTGAAAGGTGTACAACCAGCAATTATAAAACCAATTAAAATAATTATTAAGACCAAAATTGTGAGAGGGTTAAAATCAAATTATTATATATCATGTAGCCTCTGCATGGGCTCCCTGTTGCAAGAGGATTACTCAGCTCTGATGGAAAACTCATGTTTTGAGGGCTTTTGGAAAACTGTAAGGTTTGGGGTTTACCTTGCCTTAGGGCTATATTCCAAAGGGTGGGTGGTATGACAGAAAAGGCTCTTGTGCTAGACCTGATGAGCTGAATAGATGTAATCAAGAATAGACAGTCCTTCAGATAACCTGGTCCCATGTAAATCAAAAACAGCACCTTGAATAGGACCTGGAAACAAACCGGTAACCAATGCAGCTCAAGGAGCAGAGATGCAACATATTTTTCCTAGGGTCACAGGTAACTAACTATGCTGTTGCATTTTGTACCAGCTAAAGCTTTCATATACTCTTCAGGGGCAGTCCCACCTAAAACATGTTACAGTAGTCCATTCAGATGACTAGGGTGTGGATAACAGTGAGCAAAGCCTCACGATCCAGAAATAGTGCAACTGCTGCACAACATTTTGTGCAATTTAATGTATGTGCTCCCGTATTGCACCTCAGCTCAAACCCCAGTTATCTTTAGCCTCACTTTCTTCTCATATTTTCTTTCTTCTCTGTTCTTCCCATTACAAATTTTTGTTTTAAACTTTAGCAAGATGTGATTGCTGAATTAGGATGTGAAAACAAACTGCTCATAATAGAGTGGGATCATTCAGAAGTAATGTATATTCTGAAGTTTTTCTTTTTTTTATTATTGTAAAATCACTACGAACACAATTGCTAATAAATCATTACAGGCATTAACATGGGCAGCATGCCAGGGTCATAAAAAAGTAGTATTCAAGCTGCTTGAACTTGGAGCTGATAAATCAATACAGACACAAGATGGACAGACCCCAGGAGAGATTGCAAAGAAGAACAGGCATTTAGAGGTACTGTTCTATCTGAATAATCAATCCTTAAGTTGAGAGGTTTTAATTGTCAGCAGGGGTGTATTTCATAAAGAGTTTTTTAAACATCAAAACCGATAGGAGTTATTTACTGTTGATATTAATCTGAATGTGCAGTGCAATTGTTATGCAATTGTCAGTAATGTCAAGCGCACTAATGTCTTAATATATTTTATTTTTAAACATGCGCTATCCTTATTTATACTTACAATATGTCTGCATAAACATCCATTTACCTGTTCTTTAAAAAAACTTACCTAACATTTATAGTAGAACATCTGTATTTGTTTCTATGAAGATACTAATTAGAACAGAAAATGGGAACAATCAACTTAATATGAAAAGAAAAATATTCATGAATTAATTGTCTGAATTAGACTGTATACATTTGGTGTTTATTAGAGAATTGTTCTATTAAAAATAAGGTATAACTGAGGGATTTGGACAAGCAAGGCAAAGGTAGTTGACAGTTTAAGAAATAATTTAAAAATTAATTAAAAAATAATAATTAAAAAAAACCTCATATAGATACAATAATTTTATCTTTCTTTACTGGGGAAAAAAAACTATAGATCCAATTTACTGGTGTATTCCCTTTTTGTGTGTATTTTCAAGTTATTGCCTTCAAGTAACGGTATCTGGACAAGTCTCTGCGAGTTTTTTGAGAACATTTTCAGAAGTGTCCCAAAGGTGCTTTTTTCAAATTCAAAAGAAGACCCAGCAGGAGCTCTTCCTCCAAGACCAAGAAGAGAACAACAAGCGAAGCAATGTTGTCATTCCATGCCTTGGAATCTGAAAAGCTCAAGATTTTCAACCAATACGATATACATACACACTTGAAACCCAAAAATCCACTAAGGCAGAAGCTTGTCCACCCTAAGAATAAAACACCCAGACACAAACTGAGCACTGTGATACATGCACATTATAGGAGAACAAACCCACCAGGACAAGATTCAGCAGTCCCATCTTCATTTGAAAGAGAAAGGTCACTCTTTTAAAGACAGCAAAACCCATATAGAGAGGACCTCTAGTTTGAAAGAGAGGTCAGACATGCCAGTTACATTAAGTTTGAATAGCCCTTGACTTCCAGTTTGGCGTTGCTGCGGGATAGTTCTAGGAAGTGGGACTCTGAACCTAGGCTGAACTCTTCATTGGGGACCCTTAAAGAGCTAAAGTCACCTTGGAGGGGTGACCAAGAAAGGAACGCCTTGTAGATCGTGGAGAATGACAACTCTCCTGCTTGATCCGAGGCTTACCCTCCTATCCCACAACGAAGAAGAGTCCTGTGAAGCTGGATAACTGAAGAAAAAAATGTGCAGGAGTGGTGTGTGACCTGTGGACTGGAGCTGGGTGAGATGATTTTCAACTTCTTTACTAGAGACTAAACCCCAAAGAAAAGAAATTCTGAAAAGGTACTCTTTAAAGTGTTAAAAAAAGCGGCGAATAAAGACTTAGAGAAAGATTATAGATCCGAAAGAAAGTGAAATATAAAGAATATAATTCTTAAAATACAGGAAGGATGGACTTGAATACTTTATTGGAAACATCTTGAAAAGGCATTTTAAAATGCTGGAAACATTGGGTTGATTATTGGAAGAAAAAGATTATTTGAAGGAAATCTGAATAGATTTCTAGTTGTCAGATTGGGTGCAACGTTGAAATTCTAGGCGATAGTGCCATTTACTGGTGAAAGAAAGAAACTAGTTTCACAAAGCTGGGAATGTCCTTGGAATAATTATAATTATATAATTATTTGCAATATAGAGTGGAGATTAAAAAAAACATCTGGAAGACTGTTCTTTTCTCATGCATATTGTCTAATACCTATTTGTTTCACGACTAAGGACAAAAAATCTTTGAGACGTTTGAAGATTGCCAAATACTTGGAATTATCATTGGAATTAAAGAGCAGACTGTGGCTGATGAAGACAAGTGAAAACCTAGGAGTATAAACGTCTGATAACTGTACAAAGAGGCAAAAGAAGGAAAACTAAAAAAAAGAAAGAAAAGGCTTTTTGGAAAGCTTGGAAGGAGTAAACTGACTGGTGGAGGACTATAAAGGGCTATAAATATTGTGCATCTTGAGGAATAATTCTGGGACTGAGTGAATAGTTTTAATATTGGCTTTTTGATGTTACTGAATGATAAAGATGTTGGGACCCTGATAGATTATTGAGTAACTTTTGGATTTATTAAAATAATATGCTTCAGCAGGGGAAAATAAGCATATTTCAAAAATAAATGTCACTGATGTTTCAAAGTGTCTTTGAAACTATAACAAAGAACCACAGGGAGATAAAGGGTTTGGTGCATGATATAGTTGTGGGACAAGACAATGTCCAGCAAACAACAATGAAAAATGAACAGAAAACCCAGGAAATAGAGGAGAAACTAGAGGAAAGGATGCTGATAAAACAACAAATGAATTTAGAAGACAAGGAGAAGGAAGAGATCATTAAAATGAATGAAATAGATCAAATTGACTATACATTAAGAAACTTAAAAATAATTGGATAAGCAGAAAGACATTCCTAAAGCAAAGATAGATACACTGATAGGTACAGTAAAGGTTTGACAGCGAGAGGCAGTGACAGAGGAAACATTTAGACCAAATATGAATGATATATGGAGATACAAAATTCCACAGGAGGAGTATGGAAAATATGCTAAAAAATCAATAAGAATTGAAATGCTGAAACAAAGGAGATGATGGATAGAAACAGAATATCCACCAATATAAGATTTGTGCTATCAAGACTTAGAATAGAAGTAGGAATTAGAGAGATAATATTAAGTATATTCTTATATAAGATCTTAAAATTGGTATGTAGAGGAAAGGATCAGAAGTAAGATGATTGTATTATATACTTTTAAGTATATATATATACACACACATATACATATACATACACATACACATATACATATCTGAGAAGCACAGAGCCGAAGACACAAGCCTGAAGATGATGAATGAGACTTCATCGAAACGTTGCCTAGATACTTCCAATTTTACGCGGGAGAAAACCCAAATAACCAAAGATCCACATACAAATACCCGCGAGAACCTCAGAAAACAAATATACGTATACATATACATATACATATACATATACATATATATATATATATATATATATGTTTTCTTAAGTTTTCGCGGGTACTTACATGTATGGTATTCAGCTTTGTTCGAGTATTTTCCCACGTCATTTCCCATCATAATGACATGGGAAAATACCCGAACAAAGCTGAATACCACATATATATACATACATACATACATACATACATACATACATACATTATAATGTTAACAATATTAATTGTTATATTTATAATATTATAATGATGTGGAAAACATGCCGGGGGGAATTAAGAAGAACTGAAATACTAAAATGGACAAGAGATGAAGGACAGAAATAGAGTATCAACATAAGATTTGTGATATTAAAATATAGAATAGAGGTAGAAATTAGAAAGGGGGAAATATTATTTATTTATTTATTTAATTTATATTGCCACCTATTCGTCTATGGCAAATGTTATGGCTATTTCTACACTATGTTAAAATCTGTATGCAGCCGAAAGGACTAGAAGTTGAAATACTATGTACAATATTGTTATAATGATGTGGGTATGATTAACGTAATGAAGATTATCAAAATTGTCAATCTTATCACTATTACTTGGTATCAACCTTAATGATACCCAGATGCCACACTACACTGTTCATGTATTTAATACTGTTATATATATATTTAAAAAAAAACAACTCAAAAAAAAAAAGATTGAATAGCCTCCTCCCAACAGAGGAGGAGGGATTACAACCCAATCCTTATCAGCAGTTCCAAGAAGGTTCCACGCCCATTTGTTACAACCCAATCCTTATCAGCAGTTCCACGCCCATCCTGTTACAACCCAATCCTTATCAGCAGTTCCAAGAAGGTTCCACGCCCATTTGCACTATTCAAGTGACTGAGGGCAAAGATAAACATCCAAGTGGCCACAACTCTCAGAGTGCTAACGATCCAATGACTGCAAGGAATATGAAGCCTCCACCATTCAGTCAGAACTGAAGAAGCTTTCTTGGATGAGAAGCAAAATGTCGTCAAGGAAGAATAAAGTCCAGTTGCCTTTTGGAAAAAAAGCACCTTTGGGATAACCATTACCTGGATGATTGACAGTCTTCATGGATATTTTCAGGAGTGCTTGCCACTGGCTTGAGTAACTGGTCCAAGGATCACCCAGCTATCTAATCTCTAGCTGGTACTTAACCACTGCTATAAATTTGCCACTTTATTTCCAATAAGGGTTTTAAGTACTTGCATTCTCTTTACATGGGATACAAACTACTTAATATTCCCATGAAACATTTTGTATCCCATTTTTAAAAAGAAAATGAAGGACATTTAAAAATGCTAATGCAGGAGCATAAACCCCCTCTTGGTTACCATAAACCTCTCTGTAATTCTCTGAAATAATGCTTCCAAGCATCTCAAAATATTTTGTTTTTACAGGCTAAATCTACTGAGATTTATTACATAGGGTTAACCCTGTGTATATTCATATATCCCTAAAGAAACCATTTTAATGTCTTCTTCAATAAACATGCTTTTCTTGCTACTTTATCAGTTCAATCAATCCTTTAATTTAGCATCTTGAAATTGAGAAATAATTTCAGATAATTTTCTTTGAAAAGATAAATTAGCAGAAACCGTTGCATTAGAAAATAATTTTCACTGTGTCAATAAATTCCCAATTTCTTTTGTTATAGAATGAACATATTGCTACAGGTATAAACATGTTGAAAATGATTTCCTATTATGTTTCGTAGATTTTCAGTTTACTTTCTTTGACGGCAAGTCCTTTCCAAAGAAAATTCCAGAACCTGAGTAAAGAAGAACCTATTCACAGATTAATAACTGCAGTTCCAGAAGCCCTTAAAAGCCACAAAATCAGGTAGTACCTCAGACTTCAGAACTTAAGTTTTGAAAGTTGTGTTCTAATTTAAATCTTTGTTCTAGAGTAGAAAAACTTCTTATTAGACTTGAAATGGACAATTGTTCAGATTTTCTATCAAAAGTCCTGTGAGCTACAGTTTTGCACTGCTAGTGCTAACCAGATTGTGTTTGAATGTTTAAATTGATATAGAGTCTTTGGAAATTAAGGATCTATGCATAACTTAATGCTGGATTATTGGGAACATAACCATCTATGGATTTCTAATATACAGTGTAGTAATTTACCTGA